TTGCATAAATATCACTTTCATTATTAATTGGACCTTATATTATTTTAATCGATAATATTTCCATCCAAATGTAATTTGGAATTAAACATTTGAGACAATATAGGTTGACATCGTAAAATATCTTATCTTTTCCTCTCTGATGCAGCCCAGTTCGTCACAGCCTACAATTATAATAAGTTTCTCCAGCTGTCCCACAATGAAAAAGGTGCATTTATTAGAGTAGACAGAAAATAACAAGAACATTCAAATGGAAATAAGTTGTCATGACTGCCTACTTTAACCTTGCAAATTACTTCTCCTCCTGCTTATGATTGCTAATGTTTTCTTATAGGGACAGAGCCCCTTTTATATTTACTTCAGAGATGGAGTACTTTATTACAGAGGGTGGGAAAAACCCACAGCATTTCCAAGATTTTGTGGAGCTTTGCTGTCGAGCTTATAATATTGTCAGAAAGCACAGCCGACTGCTCTTGAACCTGCTGGAAATGGTAAGTCTCCTGGGAAAATAACAAAAATAATAAGCTTCATTTATGCCTCTGTTTCAGTAGTCTATTTTTGCTAATGGCTCAGAGTTCCCCAAAGAGCTATTCAAAACAGAAAGGAATGAACAAACTAAGAGTATCATTGTACAGCTTATAAAGACACTTCTTAATAATTTAATTTTAGTTCACACTTATTGCCAAAAACATTCCTATTCACAACAGTATTGATGCATTCAGGGGTTATCCCAGTATATTTTGACAATAATTCAAGGACAATAATTTCAAGGACAATAATTTTCAAAATAATGCCTTCAGTTGTTTTCTGCATTAAGATTTTTCAAAAGTGCTTTAAAAATACTATTTCATTTATATGTCGTGACAGCCTAATAATGTAGACCAGACAAGGATTTTCCCTGGCTCACTGTCACAATCTGCAACTTTGATCACTTGTATATTTTCCAGATTAAGAAACTGGAGGTCAAAATGTAAAGTGACTTGCTAGCAACTCAACTGGAGACTAGTACATTTGGTGGTCTACATCCCGTCTACTGAGTCATGGTCCTACACACTCTGTGTTGACCAACAGGGGAAAATTTAATGTTTCATTCCACTGTCCAATCCAAAGAAATGGAGACCAGATAGGCCAGGTGAGGAAAGAGAAATCAGATAGAAGTATGTTCTGGGAGAAAGATACAGTGATTCCTTTGGGCACATACACGCACACTAGTAATTGCAGCAAACTGGAGGAGGAAAACGTATCTTTGGTCCATCAGTATAGGATTTGGAGTCAATCAAAGGCAACATTTGGAGCTTTCAGATGACAATAATTCCACTAGTTGTTAAGGGCACAAACTTGGCAGTTAGGCCTCTCTGAGTCTGAATCTTAGTTTGGCATTTTACTGGCTGCATTCCTCAAGGTATGTTCATAACTCCCAAAAGACTCTATTTTCTTATCTATTAAATGAAGATAATAGCATCGACTTTGTAGAGTTGATGAATAATAGTGAATTCTTTGCATGGACCTGGCACTGTGCTAAGTGCTTTATGTATATTAATTGATTTAAATTTCATAATAACAACCCTAATAGGTCATTAATACAAAGCACTTAGCCCAGTACCTGCCATTCAGTGGGGTTCAAT